GATCGCATGGCCAATACGAATGATACGTCCACTCGAACAGCAAAGTATGGCCCTAGGGACTGAAGCTCTAGAATTTCCGAGGTAACTGTGACTTTCACACTTCGAAAACAGTCATGGGCATGGATCAAAGCCTCCAGAATTGTTTTTAATTGATTGTTATTATTAATTGAATTTGAATTGATCAAGTTTGAGATGTATTATGTTATGTATGTCATTTTATTAGTTCTTACGAAGTCAGAAAAGCTCGCCCAGGCCAGCTAGGAGTTGACATCGACTATGCGAAAGGTGCAACCAACGCATGAAAGCTAATATGCGAAGTCTAGTGCCAAACTAGCTTCATTCCTAGCTCCTCCCTGTTACCTAAGAAGAGAGCGTATGCCCGCAACATAATGAATTCATTTGTAGCTTTCACAAGGGAAACAGAGAATTCAAGAAAAAGTGGAGGGTGGTGATGAATGCACATACGCATGACCCATTGTATCGCTGTCAATGCACACAAGAAAGAGAAACACAGAATATTTCCGGATTATGAAAAAATGCGCACACGACAAAAGTATAGGAGAGTAAACCTCCAGCACAACATACTCAACAAATTGGACATCTCATACAAATGTTTTATTCACCTATAAACAACTCAAGGGGCACCCTCTCCTTAATAACACGTAATATATCTCCTAGCAAAGGCGGTATCCTAAAAGGGAACACAAGGTAACTAAACGATGGATAGACGAAGAGTAGCGAAACAAACAGCACAAATGGAAATCTAATAGTATCGATTTAAAACTAAGTTCACACGTTCGAAATCATTATCTAACTGATGCATGTTCCCGTATAAACAAAAAAAAAACATAGCCGTGATGATTTTAGACTGGCCACTGTGTCATCAAGAAAAGTAAGCTTCAATGGACTACTTCAGCACAACACAGGAGCTCATACCCGCAATGAGGAAAAATAGCTAAAACATCAAGAATATGCAATATATGATAATGATCATGTGGCTAATAAGCATAACTAGCGGATTCAAAAATTGATGGACAAGTTAGTAGTACTGGGAGGACAGTCCTTCTTTTTCCAGTTTATTGCTATCTCCGTTTTTATCCAAACTGCCGAACAAATTCTCCACAAGGGCATACCTGAAAGCACTACATTTAGGAAAAACAGTATGATTCTGAAGTACGTCATGTAAGCAATCAACAGGAGCGGCTGCTTCTGCCTCTCAGTGCCTAATAATAACGAAGTAATTTGATTAGAAGAATGACAAAGAGTAACGAAGTTCCTCACTGGAATTGCTTTTTTTGAACAATTCTGATTAGACCTGAGAATACTGAATAATTTGAGCTGATCTACCAACCTGATGCCAATTCCAAGCTACGGCCTTCCCCTGAAATGACCGGTACCACTTTGATCTGGTCGCTTTGGAGGAGGGCCACCTCCAGGATGAGGAGGCACCGGTCTTTTATGTGAAGGCACACCAGGTCGAACACCTTGAGGGCGTCGCTGGTCACCAGGACCACTGGATGAAGGTTGCGTCTTAAACAGTTTTATGAGCGGTTTTTAAGTGTAATGAAAAGCTTCATCGATACGATCACAAATAGAATACAGAGTTTCGTGGACGAAGGAATATATTTTAATCACAGCTAATGATAACGGAAAGAAGGTCGAAAAATAAAGAATAAGGGCAAGGATAATGCATTCGGCGTCGATCAATTCCATTTTGGGATGCGCCACGCATTCTACTTTCTTTCAAAGCCGTATGGTTAGCTGAATGCTAGTTGGCATATACAATGACTTGCGGAGGTTATACAGGACAGTTTCACAAGAATGCTGGGTTGTGAACAAAACTTTCGCCCCAGGCGGGACTAGAACCCGCACCTCTCGCTTTCCGGGCAAGTGCGCTACCAGTTACGCTACCGGGGCACCATTTCATTCCAACTCAGCTTTTCATGGTATACGTACCATAGCTTGTCAGCACTCACACGTATAACGTGTTGAGCCGGTTAGCCGATATCGGCAATGACCGCGAGGCTGAAAGCTTTAGCAATGAATTTTGACTTGTTTTTGTTTGTTAACTGCTGTTTTTGCCGCAGTTCGCCTTGCGAATGGAAAGCGAGAGGTGCGGGTTCTAGTCCCGCCTGGGGCGAAAGTTTTGTTCACAACCCAGCATTCTTGTGAAACATTCGCAAGGCGAACTGCGGCCAAAAACAGCAGTTAACAAACAAAAACAAGTCAAAATCAGCAGTGTTTATCTCCGCACATAATCAGTGTTCAAGTTAAGCGACCGCGGGGCAGGAAAGCTTGATTGCCTTGGGCCGAATGACGCCATGAGCTAGAGGGTTGATCCCACACACCGTCCGCGTGGTAAGCAGTGCACTTGCCACACAACTTCCACCCCAGAATCAATCTTCGTCGAACATAAATTCAAAATACGTAAAGCAGCCTCAGTGAAAGCTAGACCGGAGCAATAAATATCAGAGTTCAGCTACTCTACGTCGTTTCTCAACAACCAAGGTCGTCAACCTTAGTGAACTCATCTGACGCATCTAATAATTACAGAGAAAGGAGCAGAGATCGGAATACTGTACAGCCCTCTTAATAAACGAGTGACGTGGATACACGACAATTGAGCATATTGGAGAATCGAAGTCGGCCCATATGTATTTATTTCAAAAGAGTATGTTATTCCTAGATAGCTTCCCCAGGTCGCACTTCTCAGGACCTGTTTGAATCAAGTCCCAACGTACTCCCATTGATGTCAGTTTTCGCCGCTGCTCTATCTCCGCATAAAATGCACGCCCTATCAAGCTCAGGCAAAAAGTCTCAGTAGGATCGAAAAATTTATGACGTGAAAGGGATATTTGGTAAACTTTCTCATTTCTGTTTCCAAGAGCCAGACTAACTTGAATGGAATTTATTTTCCAGGTTCCGCTCCAATTCGCCACACCGTGCCTCCACTCTTGCAAGAAAAGTGCTGTTTCGTTATAAACGTATAAGGGCATCCCTAGTACTCACACAGCTGGGGAGGGGGGAGCGGGGGGGTGAGGGCAGGAATATTGGAGAAACAACGGCGGGACAATCGCATAACGTCCCTCCGAAGACGCTCCAGAAGCGTTCTGAGGTGATGTGGCCACCAGGACATACTCACCAATTCCAAGAAATATGGCAAGCTTTTACTTGTGACGTTCACTCCTCATAAATGATATTGAATATTGCTCGACTTAAATAGCTATGTAGAAAAAGTACCGCATCTAAAGAGTAAATACAACGAACTTAATGATTGGGAATACTTACCTCGCCTTCGGGTGGTGGGGATGGCTTGCGTGCTCTTTCCATGGCTGCGTATTCGCTGTTGAACTCGCTCATGTTTGGTGTCTCAGAATACAACAACATGAAATCTCCCGATTTCATAAACTCACCCTGGCGACCGCAAGATAAATTCAACATTCCCTGAAAAAGAAGCCAAATCAGGAGGCAACATCTAGGAGATAAAGAGAGACAACAATTAAGAAATGGAAATGAATGGCCCCTGACACACCCTGTGAACATTGGTGAAACCATTCTTGATTTTGATAATATCACCCGGCTCAAACAAATCTTGTACTTCGGCATTCATTATGGTGAAAATTATCGATCCCGATGGGTCGGCGATTCGCATACTCAACACCAGATTGCCGTTGGCTAGTCGACGAGCGGGATCTGAACATGGTATTTTGGTGGAAGTTTAGAACGAAGTTTTTTGAAGAAGCGTTACGAGCGGCTTACTGAACGCGCATACGCATGGGAAATAGGAGAAAGTGGGAGTCCACTCATTTGTTAAATAATTTTATGATCTGTTTATTTTTCAGTAATAAATCTACGAGTGCACTTGAAATGATTCTTGTATTTGATCTATCAATCAAGTCTTGAAGAAAACACATGGAAATACACATCACCCCTTGCAAAACGACGTGCTTGTACAGGGAAATTACCACTCTTGAAATTTTCAGTAGCAGCACGTATCCGCAAACAATGTACAACTAAAACAAGCTCCTCACATTCCAACTGAAAACAGTGGCACAGTTAAACGGTTATTTTGTCCAATTTGCCGAATGCACCAGCTAGGTTAACTTTGGAGGATCAGGGGACGCCATGTACGAGGACATTGAAGTGAGTGGTTCACTCACAGAACTTGGGACTAAGCCTTAGGGAGGGAAAGGATTCTGGAGAGGACGTGAGCAACCTTTGTTCTCCCTGGCATTTCTTCCCTTTCCTGGGCTTAGCCCTAGTGTCACCTACCAGCGGTTTTTGAATGCCCTGTTTCGAATGTACTAAAGACGTGGAACCGATTAGGGTCTAGCTTAACTTGCACTGCAAGCATTCTATTCCACCACCGCGAACAATTTAAAAGTAGAAGATAGGAACTTCAAAAAACGCGCTATATTACAGGTGGTGTTTTTAATAGGTGAAGAGGGAGGGGAGGGCGGAAGTGGTCTAGTGGCAAGTGGCACGCTTACCATCGGCGGTCTGGGGCAAGTCATTGTATAGGCCACATCGCATTCAAACGCCACTACGAATGTACAAATGGAAGTAGAATGCGTGCCGCATCCCAAAAAGGGATTGATCAACGGCAAATGCTTTATCCTTTATCCTTAACCCATTCGTGACAATGGCAGCCACCGGTGGCTGACAAAGATCTCACTCGGGACAATGGTATCCACCGGTGGCTGCCGTGTTTCAAATGGAATTTGGAAAGTTTTCTTTCCTGAAAAGAATCTTCATACCCTCATTCATCTACGCCAGCCCTGGGCAGAGGAAATCTCCATCCACTCAATTTTATTGAAGAAAAATCTCCTGACTCTCCTGCTAATGCGCAATCCCACGCGGTCGCGAATGGGTTAAAGAGGGAGGGATGAGAGAAAGATTGGGGAGGGAAAATGGGACTGATTGATTAGGCGAAAGAGGCACTCATTTCGTAAGAGGGGTGGGACATACAACATCTAAAAACCGTTGGAAAGTGATACTAGGAGAGGGCAGAAACGCCTGGGAAAACAAATATTGCTCACATCCCACCCCAGTATCCTTCCTCCTTAAGGCTTAGTCCCAAGAACTCATTGGTGGATGACTCATTCAGTTCTAGGTCTCTTCTGACACACGATTTAACGCGGGCGAAAGACAGCGACCCAAAAACGTCCACAACCTCGAGGCTGCCAAGTCAACGGACCAGTTACCCTCGTTAGCATTACGTGATATTCCATGGGGGCCTATTCCACGATCCTGTCTTACGTGATATTCCATGGGGTCAGTTAGGGGGGGAGGGCATCATGATGCAGTTTTGCCAAAAAGCTAGGGTACTCGGCCAGAGGGGATGGTTGCCTGCCTATGGGGTGGAGGGTGAGAAACTATGTTCGAGTTCATTGAGGAATTGCATCATGATGCCCGCTAACTGGAATAGACCCTCCCATGGTGTATATCGTTAACTCCATCAATGTATCCAACTTGTTAACTTTGGTTAACAAGGTAAAAATTAAAAGCCTCTGAAAAATCGTACTCCTGTAACTAAGGGAAACATGAACCATTTAACCCCGAAGTGACGCATCATAAACTCTACGATTCTCCCCAGAACATATTCCAAATAGTGATAGAATTCATCTGCGGCACTAACGAAGCGATCTTCACATAACCCTCACTTTGTTGTTGTGGTGGCACGTGAATATGAGCATGATTAGCCGCCATCACACTGAAAAGTTGCTTATATTCTATCGCTTTTTGGCTCTAGTATTTGCAAGATCAAGAACATGCCTTAATCTAATCTCCCAATCGAGTAATCTTTATTACTTTACTACACTTGGTCGGTGTGAGAGCAACTTATATGGGGGCGAACCCTCGCCCTTATAATGGAGTCACATTTTACGGTGGAGCCGAAATCCCGCTTCTCACCAGGAAGGTCTTTCAGGGCGTGACAAGCTTTTTGAAAACGGTCTTTTGCATGATATAGGGGCAGATGCGGGAACCACAGAACCATGTTCAATTTTTCCTGAACGGCCCTCTGAATACCAGAAAAGGAGGTCCCTAGTTCGATTCCTCGTGGTAACAAATTTTTGCATTTCGAGTTGACGTGCCAAAATTCGCGCAAAATGGAGTTAGAACCAACCAGAACAATCAGAACTCCATTTTGCGCGAATTTTGGAACGTCAACTCGAAATGCAAAAATTTGTCACCAAGAGGAATCGAACTAGGGACCCCCTTTTCTGGTATTCAGAGGGCCGTTCAGGAAAAATTAAACATGGTTCTGTGGTCCCCGCATCTGCCCCTATATCATGCAAAAGACCGTTTTCAAAAAGCTCGTCACGCCCTGAAAGACCTTCCTGGTGAGATACGAAGAGATTCTTCTGCTGCTCTTGTCGTAGACATTGTGAGATATTTGCCACTCGACGGTCATTTGGTGGGGAGGGGGGATGTGGGCTGGGAGTGTGGGTGTGTTTGCTGATATCCGAAATCAAATCAAATATTATAGTCAAATATCAAATACTATGGAAATGGGCCCCGTGATGAGGCGGTGGTGGGGGAAATGTCATATTTCGGTATAACCCTTTTTACCTGAGGTGGTTGGGGAGTAGTACCGAGACCACCTCCCCTATGCGTACCCTTAATTTTTCTTGAAATCGAAAGGTGACGGTTGACCCTGAATGAAGGAGGGTGACATCGATAAGCTGGCTCTTGGTAGTGGTTATCCAACCCTGACCGTTTCCACCCCGTTCACGACCCTGTCTCATCCTTTATAATACATAACAAATATCGGCGCTATCACAATATAGGGGGGCATTGCGATGGCAATGCATTGGAAACGCGTAAAACATGCCTTTTTGTTAAAAATGGGACTAAGCCTTAGGCGGGAGGAGAGATCCAAGGTGCGTGAGCCATTTTCATTTTCCCGGAGCTCCTGCCCCTTCTAGGCTTACAATTAGTCCTAGAGGATGCCCCCGTTTACTACGATAGCGCCCAAATATCTATGGCTGATAGAGTTGATATAATATCCACCCGCCGTTGCACACCCTTAGATTGAAGACTCACCAGCCCTCAATCTGATATCACGGGGCTTAATTGCAAACCTGCTCAGTAAACGGCTTCGATTTCATGGGCAGAACAAAAGGGTATTTCAAATTTCAGAAAATTTGGCTTGGCTTCAATCCGAAAGCTAAAAAAGCTTATATGTGCAGAGAAAACCCTTG